AATGTCTGAATGCAAACCCCTTTCTACACCTATCTCTGTCTCGAAAACTGTCCACTCCAATTCAGATTTATATGATGATCCCACACAGTACATGAGTCTAGCTGGAGCACTGCAATATCTCACTGTCACACGACCTGACCTATCCTTTGCAGTTAATCAGTTATGCCAGCATATGCATGCTCCCACCATGTCACACTGGGAGCAGCTCAAACGGGTACTCAGGTATGTTAAGGGAACAGTTGATCATGGTTTACGCATACGACGGTGCTCATCTAGAGACATTCATTCCTTCTCTGATTCTGATTGGGCTGGTTGTCCTGAGGATCGAAAATCCACGAGTGATTTTGCTGCATTCTTGGGGAGTAATCTTATATCCTAGGTTTGCAAGAAACAGAGAACTGTTGCCAAGTCATCCACTGAGGCTGAATACAAAGCGCTTGCAGATGTTTGTGTTGAGGTTCTATGGATTATGTCATTACTGCGTGAGATACAGATTCCGGGTATTTCCATTCCAAAATTATGGTGTGATAATCTAGGAGCTACATATATGAGTGTCAATCCAATCTTTCATGCGCGCACCAAGCATGTGGAGATTGATTATCATTTTGTTCGTGATCGAGTAGCTTCAGGGGATATCCAAGTCAACTTCATCTCCACAAAGGATCAACTTGCTGATATCTTCACAAAAGCTCTGTCTGGACTTAGATTTTCTTCCCTAAGGGACAAACTACAGGTTACTAGTATACACTGTGCTTGCGGGGGAGTATTAGGACGACTCTGTATTTGAGTCTGTTTAGAACTTCTTATCCTTGTCACACTGTGCCTCTCTACTTCTTATCCTTTTCACACTGTGACTCTCTATTGTATATATTCACATCATCTGATCTCATTGTAATCATGTTCAGTTAATACAATACAATCAATTCTCATCAACGGAATATTCCGTTACTAAAGTTTATACTAACAGAATTTAGGGTTATTTAAGGAAAGAAAATAATATAATAGAGGGTAAATAAGGGAAATCATTAAAAAAATACTAAAATCAAAATAATATGAACCATTCATTTTAAGAAACAACTACTACCGACATTTTTTTGTTCCAGTTAAGCGCCTAACATTATTGGCTCTTATTAGATTTGTAGATGTAGATAGAAATTATACCATAGACTAGGGTTTACGATCCTAGTCGATAATGACATTCAAATTATTTACCTTCAGTTAACATATTATGTACATTCAACTAACGAATTATGTATCTGTAAATAAACAGAAGGTATATAATATGTTAATTATATTGTAATAGGTACACAATTTATTAACTAAATATACATAATATGTTAACTGTAGGTATATATAATACATTAATTGTAATATGTACATAATTTATTAACTGTATGCACATAATATATTAGTTGTAATAAATATAAAACTTATTAACAGAAATTAAATAATATGAATTTTTTTTTTGAATCAAGGTTCATAATTCAATATGGACTCTAATACCTGGTATAACAAATGAGCCAATTTTTATTATTATTATTAATTTTAATAAGGCCACGGATTGCAGCTGGAAGCTATAACAGACGAGGCAAAAGTATATAATCAGCAAAATTAAAATATTACGTACTATTTGACAAAAAAAAAAAATATTACGTACTAAAATATTGGGCGGAAAAGTAGTAGTGAAGATGTGGAATATATAGAACATATGTATAATACTTCTTAGATAAAATATAATACGTTTTAGCGTAAAAAGAGGTAGACATTTCTTCAAAAGATTATTGGGTTTCGAAACAATACCCAAAATCGTCCTCGACTATAGTGGTTTTTCTCAATTTCGTCCTAAACGACTTTGGTGACCTAATAGGCTAATATCGTCCCAGACTTTTGTGTTTCACTCAATTTAGTCCCAGACTTTTGTGTTTTTGCTCAATTTAGTCATTCATTTGTTATTCTGTCCATTTGGTGTTAAATAAATAGACAATTCAGTAATTTTAATATTGACATCTCTTTGCTCATAGACATGTGAACTGCGAAATCCTTTTTTTTTACGAATTACTCCCAGAATTACTCCTAAAACTGCGAATATAAAATTTGATTTGCAGGTCCGGGAGTAATTCTAGGTGTAATTCGTACAAGAAAAAGGAATTTCGCACTTCACAAGTTGAAAGTAAAGAGAGATCAATATTGACATTACTGAATTGTCCCTTTATTTAACACCAATTTGACGGAATAACAAATGGAGGACTAAATTGAGCGAAACACAAAAGTTTGGGACGATATTAGGTCACCAAAGTCGTTTAGGACGAAATTGAGAAAAACCACTATAGTCGATGACGATTTTAGGTATTAACTCATTGGGTTTCATATGAAGAAAGACTTAGAAGCTGATCTGGGGTGAAAAGCGGTAGACATTTCTTCAAAAGATGATTAACGTTCATATGAAGAAATTCTTTGAAGTTGGTTGTGGCTTGAGTTAAGATTGTTGACTATTGTTTGATTTATAGAATAAAACAAATTTTCTCAGATATAATAATTACGTTCATCATTATTGTTTGGACGGACGATATAATGTATTTTTAGTACTCAAATAATGTATTTTCATGAATACATGGTACATTTATAATATGATATCTAATTCTATGATATCAAGAAAAGTAAGTCTCACCTAAGGGCCGGGGTATGATTTTTTTATTTTTTCAAGGTGACCAAAAATCTATCAAATTTATTCATTTATGCATTTATAAGAAATTTGTCTCTCCCTCATTACACACTATTTATCAATAAATTTTCCATCAAGGTACATAGTATTCTTGACTATTTTTCTATACCTATCTCAAATATAATGATCAATAATATAATGATGCGCGTCTATTCTTTTTTAATTTCATTTACTATATTCTGATAAAGTTTTCTTATCTTGTTCATGATCTAATTCTCAGGAATGATAGCAATGGTATATTAGAGATGTTTATAAAAATTCACATAAAATTTTAAATGAACCAAATATCTTATTTAATTTTTCAAGTAATTTAATTCTTATGTTTTCAAGGTAACACCAAACATGATAATTAATTTTTTTTCTATAAAGTTATTTCCATCAAATACATTCCTTAGAAATATTTTATCAAGAGTATAATTGCAAATTTGCAATAGGTACGCAATTTATTAACTAAATTTATATAATATATTAACCGCATGTATATAATACGTTAATTGTAATATGTACGTACATAATTTATTAACTATAAGTATATAATAAATTAACGGTAAGTACATAATATATTAATTGTAATAAATATAAAACTTATTAACAGAAAGTAAATAATATGAATTTTGTTTTGAATGAAGGTTCATAATTCAGTATGGACTCTAATACATGGTATAAAAAAACGAGGCAAAAGTATTTTTTTAATTTTTATTTTAATATAAGGACACGGGTTGCAGGTGGAAGCTATAGCCCGCCAATGTGCTCCCAACTACAGCTACATATATACCGTCCAGATTTGCGATCAAATTATTATTATTTATGAGGGAGTAATAGTTTATGCAAAGTATTCTTGTTCAGTAGTGCCCTCATCCTGTCCCATATTGGTCGCTTGGAATGTTATTGACAGCCCATAGGCAGCCCCAGTACATACTTTTTTATATTTAATTTTTTTTAATAACTCCCCATGTGGTCTAATTAAATTTATCTAGTTAATAACATATGGAGACCTCTGAGTGTACTGGTTTTATCATATTTAGTCTTAAATTTTTAAATTGACCACATGTGATTTTTACTTTCAAAGTTAATCCTAAATTGGCAAAATTACTTTGCGGGAAAATTATTCTGTGGACTCGGGTCTACTTTTCTAATTTTCAAAACTTAGAAACACCATTTATATTATAGAAGTTCATAATCCAATACTAAAAATACACAATATAGGACCAAGAACCACCTTGCAAGGTGGACCCTGGTCCATGGTATAACAACTAACCTCGCGGTGGGACGAGTTAGAGCCTAAAATTTTACACACACACACACACAAAACATTAAAAGTTTTTTGAAAATAAAACTAATTCATTAATCATAGGTTGAAACGTTTTCAACAAAGATCGGTGGAATGATAAAACATTCATGACACTCAGACATAGAAACAACTTTCCTAGCAATGCTACAAAAAACTTGATTCACAGACTGTAATACAAATTTGAAGCTGGAACTTGAAACTTCCTTGATGTCGTTAATGATTTGGTCAAACGTACTCAAAACTGACTAAAGTTGAGAAGTCTTACACACCACCTAAGTATCTGTTGCCATTCTTCTATCCAATATCTCCATCAAGCAGAACTGCATATCGTAGTTCAGAAGAGTCTCTTTTTCATTGTCATCTTTGTTGCCCAGGATGAGATTCGCATACGCCATGACCAATTAAATCGTTTCACGCTAGCTATATGAAAAAAGAACTCGCCCAAGAAACGAGGAAGAATCTAATATTATTTAGGTTAAATTATTAAAGAGTTAATATCAATTGGGATCCTCCAGTATAATGACATCGCCACGTTTAGTTTTAAACTTTCAAATTTAAGTACATGTAACCCTTAAACTTTCAAGCTAAACTACTCATGGTCCTTCAATTTTCAAGTTAATCACCTATTTTCCTTCAATTATCAAATCTTTAACCAGCCTTGGTCCTAACTTTGTCCTTTACTTAAACTAACCAAGGACCATGACCGGTTAAATTTGAAAGTTGAAAGATCATAAGTGGTTAAATTTAAAGTTTAGGATTACATGTGGTGGTGTCAGTATACATAGAGGACTCCAACTGCTCTTAACTCAATTATGAAAATATATAGAATAATATTATTGTAATTTAAAAAAAAAAAAATTGAAGTTTGGCCGCAGGGTTGCTAACATGGTTCGGTGGTTCCTCCACCCACGATCAGACCACGACGCTCAATGGCCTACGCAAAACCTCTATTCTTCTTCTTCCGTTTACTACTTTTAATCATCCTCCTTACTGTTTCATGAAAAACCTCTATTCCAATCGCTTGCCCAATCTTGGAAAGGGAATGATGCATGCCAGAACTGGGCATTTATCACTTGTGATCCGCAGGGGAATAATGTGACTACTGTGAATCTTGGAAATCAGGGTTTTTCAGGTACTATTTCCCCCTCTCTTGCCAACTTGACTTCATTGAGGAATCTGTATTTGAATGATAATAATCTTACTGGCCCAATCCCGGAAAGCTTGACTACTTTGCCTAATCTTCAAGTCCTAGATGTGTCCAACAACAATTTGTCTAGGCCTATACTTGTTTTTTCACCTTCTGTAAACTTTTCTCATGGTGGCAACTTATTCCTTGGGAAGAATGTGAGTACTGGTGCTCCCAGTGACAATCCATCGTCTCACAATTCAAACGTCTCAGCTGGAATCGTTGTTGGTGTGGTTGTAGCTGTTGTTGTTTTTGTTGTGGTTGTGTTGTTTGTGTCTTACAAGTGTTACATGAAGCGGCAGCATAAGATGAAGGTTAGTGTAAAGGGCACTACTGTTTCGATTGAGATAAAGAAACTGGACATAGTTGATTGTGGGAGAACTTCTCCTGTTCACCAAGATGGAAACATTGCTATTCCCATCCAAGTTCTTGAAAAAGCCACAAACTTTTTTAGTGAAGAAAATGTGTTGGGGAGCGGAGGATATGGAGTGGTATATTTGGGTGAACTAGATGATGGAACAAAGGTTGCCGTGAAGAAGATGAAAGATAGGGCAACGGTTACTAAAGGAATGAATGCGTTCCAAGCAGAAATTTCTTTTCTTACCAAAGTTAGGCATAGGAATTTAGTTGCACTGATTGGTTATTGTATCAATGACAACAATAATCTTTTGGTGTACGAGTATATGCCACAAGGTACATTGGGCCATCATTTATTTGAATGGGAGAAGCATGGCTTTGATCCTCTAACTTGGAAGCAAAGGGTGACCATTGTATTAGATGTGGCCAGGGGGATTGAGTATCTTCATAGTTTGGCTCATCAAAGTTTCATTCATCGAGATATAAAGTCCTCAAATATTCTTCTTAGTGATGACATGAGAGCCAAGGTCGCAGATTTTGGATTGGTTAGAAAGGCTCCGAATGATAAATCTTCTTTTGAGACGCGAGTGGCTGGAACATTCTGTTACCTTGCACCTGAATATGCTAGTAAGTTTTAGCTATGGTATATTTTTACAATTTGGCACATTACATGATTTTTTTTTTTCTGAGTAATATTGATTGTGTAAGTCGGTGTAACTAATTAATATGATATTAAAAAAATTACTCTAAATCTAAACCAAATCATATAATGATGATAAAGTTATAAAAAGTTGGAGATTCAATCTTGAAGAAATTTATAAAAAGTTATCCGATTTTAAATCCATTCTATTAACATTTTTGGGTACGTGAGACAGATGGAATTTTTTTTAAGTATTTATTTTTTCTTCAAATATTACACTTTCTCTTATAAGTAACTTTTCAATATTTACATCTTATCTTTTGATTAAGACTATGTGGTCTAATGGTACCCAAGTTGGACTTCTATTTGGAAGATTGTGAGTTTTGAACCTCAGTGGAGGCGTTATAGCATTCAAAAAAAAATCTTTTTTGTACTTTAAAAGTAATACATTTTTCCTCATAAGTAACATTTAATTTATACATTTGGATGTGTTTTCGACAGCAACAGGACGAGCCACAAACAAAGTAGATGTTTATGCATTTGGAGTTGTTTTAATGGAGATAATCACCGGCAAAAAAGCAGTAGATGAGACATTGCCTGACGAGACGTGTCACTTGGTCACATGGTTTCACAAGATTATAAGAATAGGACACAACCTTAAAAACACTATCGACCCAACTCTTGATCTTGATGACCAAACATTTGAGAGCATTTCTAAGGTTGCAGAGTTAGCAGCTCACTGCACTGCTAACAAATATTTTCAACGACCAACAATGGAACATGTTGTTAACGTCCTTGGTCCCTTTGCACAAAGGTGGAAGACTTTGAGACTAGAAGAAATAGCGGACAAGTATGGTGGTCTTGACCGCCACATGAGCCTTCCTCTTGCGTTTGACGGCTCATCCATTGAAGGTTTGTATTTTACAGAAGCCCAACTCAACGGACATAGTGCACAATTTTAATTTTTATGCTCATTATATTTGTGCACATTAGTATTTGAAAAAACAACACTTTTAACTCGTGAATTGTTTCACTTTTGAAAATTTGGTCTCTGTAAATTAGTTTAAACAAATTTTATCCTTTAATCCTCTATTATATTAAACCCAAATATTTTAGAATAATATAATAAGTAATATTCTTTCTGTCTAACGAAAAACGTTGTCGTTTAGGTTAGGGCAGTAATATATTAAATGGTAGTAGTTAATATATGGAAATGGTTCATATTTCCAAAATCACTTTTTACAGCTGATTAATTACGGCTTGCCTTTCTCACGGGTACTCTGTGCTCGTGCTTTGCCAGTTCACTCGCACGGGCAGTGGCACGCCTGTGCGGGACCAGTGTGCCAAACCCTGGAATTTCTTTATAAATAGACTTTTTTCTTTTGTTGTTCAGGGAGAGCAGCCCCACTGAACAGTAGTAGTAGGGAAAATTTTCAGATTATGTTATTTCTTTCTTTCCTTGTTATTTTATTACTTTATCAAGTTATGTTTTGTGATTCTTAGCTTAGATTACTTTGTTCTTTTGTTTATTGCTTTTATCTTATGAATCTTTATTTTGTTGTTGAAGGTTTATCTCTCTATATATTTCGTTAATATATTGTTGGATGATGTTATTTATGAATATTCTTGTGTTTTTCGTATTTATTATAAGTGAATAGTTTAATATAGGGGTTGGATAGTGGTATATATTGTGTTTGATGCCTAGCTATTTGATCTATATTGCATAAAAGAGTTTGAAACTCAACCAAGAGTTCTTGCTTTTGATTGTGAGATGTTTTTGTATTCTTGTGTTGATGGATTTGTGCACAACATTGTCAATACTTGTCGAGTATGAGATTTTGGCAACCTTGTTCTTATACTCGTCTCTCAACCGCCAATTTCTCTTAGACCACATCTCGTGACATTCAAGATCACTTATGAGAGGTGGGAGCGTTGAAGGTCAAGACTGTTTCAGCTTATTGAGAGGGATTGGTAGAGTTACAAGAGTGAGAGATAACTCTCGTGTTCCAATTCGACCTAATATTGAATCACGAGAATAACGTGTTAATACACCGAATTGGTGTTGACATTCTTTGAACCCGAAGTGAAATTTCATAACCCTAAATCCTTTGTTTTAGCATTGGACCAATATAATACCCCTTCTAATCCCTGCTTTTATTTTCCTGTCTTTATTTCTTTACTTTTATTTCATTGTTCATTCTGTCACCATTCATCTATCTATTTGCTTAGCTTCCATATATTAAAGACTTCATGTTTGTGGCTAGTTATTTTTTATTTAATCCAACCGCCAATCCCTAAGAACGATCTAAAATAAATTTTTGTCTGTTTGTTCTGCAATCTACTATATATATTGCAGTGCGATCAACTAGATTTTGACCAATGAGCTATTGTAGGACTAGCAATTTACCTTTATCATAACTTTAAAAGTAAAATCTTGTGAACTTAGAATTAGTCCGGTGAAACTGATCTGAGATCATCTAGGTACAAAAAATAAATACTCAGTATGTAAATATGAATCTCAATTACTATAATTTGATGATATTTAATTTTACTCACATAAACTGATGAAAGATAAGTTACACTTGCCCCTAAATCATGGCTTTCTCCGTCTCGTTTGTTTCTTTCACTTTTAAAAAAAAAAAAAATTATTAAAAAGATTTCAAAACGGCTGTTTTTTACTTTTTTTATTTTTAAATTTTAATAAGCCCAGGGGTTGCCGACTTGCCGCTGGAAGCCTTTTGTGCTCCCACTGCTGTTCTTCACTGATCATCAAGATTTGTAGATAGTATTATTTTCTCTTGGTCAGCGTTGCAAATTAATTACGCTTATTAATAGGAAAAAAATCTAATAGTTATACATCATTACATTGTAATAAATTAATAATTAATAATTATATGAAAAATTTTAAAATTTTGACAATTTAATACTAAATATTTGTATTTCGTTACGGTGAGAACTGTATAAATTGTATTGAATGAACTTAATTACAACTGTACAAACATGGAGAATATATATACGCCAGCATGGGTAGCTCAACTGGTCATAGAGGTGAAACTTTGGAAGAATGACCAGGGATCGAGTCTCACCAGCGGCAGTGAGGGGGGCTCCTAGACTCTGTGGTTGAACCTTTGGAAGAAATCATAGGAAGACTAGAATAGGGAGTCATATTATGACTATGGTACACTTGTAACTTGTTTCTTGTTTCTTAGAAAAGAAAATCTAGGACCAAACAAGACTTTGGTGAATATATCTTTTGTTGAGATGAAATTTACTAGACTAGAATAGGGAGTCATACTATGATTATGGTACACTTGTAACTTGTTTCTTGTTTCCTAGAAAAGAAAATCTAGGACCAGACAAGACTTTGGTGAATATATCTTCAAGTTGATCTTTTGTTGAGATGAAATTTACTAGACTAGAATAGGGAGTCATACTATGATTATGGTACACTTGTAACTTGTTTCTTGTTTCCTAGAAAAGAAAATCTAGGACCAGACAAGACTTTGGTGAATATATCTGCAAGTTGATCTTTTGTTGAGATGAAATTTACTTGAATCTCTCCAGTAGCAACTTCATCTCGTACAAAGTGATAATCTATCTCTACATGTTTGGTGCGGGCATGGAAGATGGGATTGACACACATATATGTAGCTCCAAGATTATCGCACCATAATTTGGGAACCGAGATCCCTGTAACATGGATTTCACGCAGAAGAGACATGATCCAAATCACTTCAGCACAAACATATCCTAGAGCTTTATATCCAGCCTTAGTAGAAGATCTAGCAACAGTTCTTTGTTTCTTGCGGACCCATGATACTAGATTAGACTCAAGAAAAACAGCAAAGCCACTTGTGGATTTTCTATCCTCCGGACAGCTGGCCCAGTCAGAATCAAAGAAGGCATGAATTTCCCTTGAGGATGACTTTCTGACTCGTACGCCTAAATTAACAGTTCCTTTGACATACCGTAACACTCTCTTTAGTTGTTCCCAGTGAGTAGCTGTAGGTGCATGCATGTGTTGACATAATTGATTGACTGCAAAGGATATATCAGGACGAGTGATGGTTAAATACTGTAATGCACCCGCTAAACTCTTGTATTGTGTAGGATCATTATGTGGAGTTGCGTTAATGGGGATGGATTTTGACGTGGGAATTGGGATGGACAAGGACTTGCAGTTTGGCATTCCAGCACGTTTTAGAACATCCTGCATGTATCTCTGTTGGCAAAGTAAAGTCTCATCATTGTATTTAATTGCCTCAATTCCAAGAAAAAAATGTGGTTCACTAAGATCCCTGATTTTAAATGCAATAGAGAGTTTTGAAACTAATTGAAGAACTAGGTTCGTATCGCTTCCCATCATAAGAATGTCATCCACATAAACAAGTAGATATACACAATCAGATCCCTGTGAGTAATAAAAAAGAGGCACATATGTTTTGGATGTCTGAAACCCAATAGATAGTAAAAAGGTGTGCAAACGATTAAACCAAGCTCGAGGAGCCTGTTTTAATCCATAAAGAGACCTTTTTAGCAGACATACATGATTTGGATTGGAAGCATCAATATATATATATATATATATATATATATATATATATATATATATATATATATATATATATATATATACATAGGCGGTTGCTTCATATACACAGTTTCAGAGAGATGACCGTTCAAGAAAGCATTATGAACATCCAATTGCTTAATAGTCCACTCGGAAGATAAAACAATAGAAAGAAGAAACCTGACTGTGGTTGGTTTAACCACTGGGCTAAAAGTATCAAAAAAGTCCTGACCTAGCACTTGATTAAACTCTTTTGCTACAAGTCTTGCCTTATGCCTTTCAATGGAACCATCAGCTTTTCGTTTGGTACGAAAAACTCATTTACACCCAATGATGTTCATGTCTGACTGAGATGTCACAAGTTGCCAAGTCTGATTTTGTAGTACGACATTAAATTCCTGATCCATAGCCTCTCGCCATTCTGAATGTTTAACAGCCTGTGTGTAACAAGTGGGATCCGAAAGACAAACCTGAACCGTTAAAATAGAAGGTGGAGCCCGAGACCAAATCCGAGTGTGCATCTCATGGTTCCGAACCGTGGATTTGGTCGTTTTCCCACGAGGACGCCCACGTGGGCGTTTGACGGGCTGGACGGCCTCAACAGGTAACTCTTGGTCCGGCGAGGCAAATGGTCCGGCGGCAGCAGTGGGCGGTGGTGGAGAGGAGTCTGAATCACTGCCGGCGGTGTTGGGTGGGACGGCCACAGGACCAATCGGCAATGAAATCGCAGTGGGATGAAGAACTGACTCAGTCCACGGACAGAATTTCTCAGGTGGAGATGGCTGCACAATATTTTTGGTAGCAAAAAGGATAAACTGTTTCATCAAACCTTACATGCATGAACACATAAATCTTGTTAGTCTGTAAGTCCATGCATCTATACCTCCAAAACGACTCAGGATAACCTAGGAAAACACATGGGGTGGACCGAAACGACAATTTATGACGATTATATGGTCTGAGATATGGGTAACACAAACACCCAAAGACACGAAGAAAGGAATAGGAGGGATTGGAATTATGCACTTTAAAGTGTGGACGGAGATTATTTAATACAACATAAGGCATTTTGTTAATTAAATAAACTGCAGTTTCAAATGCAAAATCCCATAATTTATATGGGACAGAGGCACGGGCTAGAAGAGCCACCCTGTTTCAACAATGTGTCTCTGTTTTCGTTCGATACGACCATTTTGTTCATGAGTGTAGGCACATGATTATCTATGAAGGATACCTAACTAATTAAAGGAATGTGCAATTTTTTGTATTCAGCTCCTAGATCTGATTGAACGGCTTTAGTTTTTGCGTTAAAAAATCCCTCAACCATAGTACGAAATTTATCAAAGATGACATACAGATCATATTTTAATATGATGGGAAAATACCGAGTGTAAGGAGTATAATCATCCACAAAAATAACAAAATAACGATAGCCATCAATTGACAAAAGGGGAGCTAGACCCCAAATATCTGTGTATATCAAATCAAGGACACTAGAACTGGATGTCTCAACACGTGCCAATGGGAATCGAGAGGATTTACCCATTTGACATGCATTACACAAACTAGAATTACATCGAATAGAATTATTTGACCCACTAACCGGACACGACTGAAGAATACGAAGTAAAACACAATGATGTGGATGTCCTAAACGATCATGCCACACTGACGGAGAGGTGCGAGCTGTAAGAAAAACTGAGGGAGATGGCGTCGCAATTGGGAGCTTGTAGAGACCCCATGACTATTGCCTTTAAGTAGAATTTCATTGGTGTTGATATCCTTCACCAAAAAAAAAAAAAAAAAAAAAAAAAAAAAAAAAAAAAAAACGACTGAGACTCAAAAAACACTTTATTATCTATGGCAAATTTCTGAACAGATAATAAAGAAGTAGAGACACTGGGAACATGAAGGATATTAGACAATTGGAAGGAACGAGATAAGGTATTAAAAGAATCATGACCTATACGACTAATAGAGAGCTCCTTACCATCACCCACACGCAATGTGTCATTACCCGTGTATTCCTCGAATGTAGATAGGGCTGCAATATCCGGAGTGACATGATTGGTGGCCCCTGTATCAGGAATCCATGTCTGTGAGTCATTAGGATGCGACTCGGTATTCTGATACATCAAATTTGCTTGTAGAGGAGGATCATAGAGATTGTAGCATTTGATAGTCGAGTGTCCCGTACGACCACATAGTTGACAAACAATTGCCGAACCGCCACTGCCGCCACGCCCGCCACCTCTGCCAGAATGCGTTCGGCCACCGCCTCCTCCACACTGTGCGCTGGAATTCTGCCCTCGACCACCTTGGTTGTCGCCGCGTCCTCTGCGACGATGGTTACCGCTGCCACGTTGTGCGGCGAACGCCACCGGTGTACCACCTCAAATAAACTCCTGGGCACCAAGAAAATCAACCAACTCACCTAAGGTTACAGTACCACGAACCGAGAGAGATGCGGTGAGATTTTGAAATTCCGGCCGTAAATCACGAAACACATAGAGATTCATCTCGTCAAGCCCAACCAGTCTACCGGCCAAAGCAACATCCTCTAAATAACACGGGCACAACCAATATAATCAGCAACCGTGGAATCTCCCTGGCCCAGGGACTGTAGAGGGCCAAGGAGATTTAACGAGCGGGCATGAGATGCGGAAGCCAAAGACTGTTCTATTCAATCCCAAACCTCACGTGATGTACGACGACCAACGGCGAGGTGTAAGAGAGAAGAAATCAACATGGACATAAGAGCCCAATCATGACGAAACCATGTTGCGTAATCAGGATTGGGCGCCAACGAGCCACCTTCGACGACGGGCAGATAACGTGGCGGACTAGGGTTGGTTCCATCGACGAATGACATGAAACCATGTCCATCAAGGAACGGAACGACCTGAGTTCTCTAAAATAGATAATTTTTGTGTGTAAGCTTAATGCTGATAAATTGATGAGCAGTAGAAAGTGAAGACACGGCAGCGCTAGCGGAAGACGTGGTAGCGGCGTTGGAGATGTTTTGTTCGGATGATTGAACAAATTCAATAGCCATTGAGCCAGAGAAAATAGAGAAAACCCTAGCTTAACTGATACCAGATGAGAACTGTATGAATTGTATTGAATGAACTTAATTACAACTGTACAAACATGTGGAATATATATACACGAGGAATCATAGGAAGACTAGAATAGGGAGTCATACTATGACTCAAATACAAGAATCATAATACTAGTCCTAATAGTTACAATTATATTCAATAATTGTACTATTTACTCCTAGAAATAATTCAATTTGACTAAATTAAATATTAATTGGTGACTATGATGAGAGCTAATAGAGTTGTGTATTGTGTATATATATATATATATATATATATATATATATATATATATATTGAAAGTGATGTCGTTTTCAAAATTGAGAGGATATTTCAGGGATAATGAAACCTTAGAATCCTGCCGCAGCCTGTACTATATCAAACGGAAACTGCCAACATTCTTTTTCCACCACGCAGAATGACCTACCACCAGAAATGTCTATTCCTTTACCGCTTACTACTCTCTCTCAGCTTCCTCTCTCTTTCGTTTTCCGACGACGCCACAGTCATGTCCAAGCTCTTCGCCGGCATATCACAGCCGCCCTCCGGATGGTCCATCTCCAAAGACCACTGTACATGGAAAAATGTTCAATGCGATAAGTCCACCGGCAGCGTAGTCTCCATCAACCTCGACTACCAGTCCATTTCCGGCACACTCCCTTCGGAGCTCACACAGCTCGCGTCCCTTCGATCACTTTCTCTCCGGGGTAACTTCCTCTCTGGGTCTTTGCCGTCTTTCGCAAACATGTCCAACCTTGAAGAACTCTACTTAGACAACAACAAATTCAGCTCAATCCCCAGTGGTTTCCTCTTGGGTGTTCCTAATTTACAGACTTTCAACATTTCTGAGAATGGAAATCTCGGCCCATGGCAGATTCCAAGTTATTTGATTGAAAGCACAAACTTGAATGTTTTCCATGCGAGCAACGCCAGTATCACGGGAGCCATTCCGAATTTCTTCGATTCTTTCCCGACTCTTCAGAACCTGAGATTATCCTACAATAACCTCACAGGACCTCTTCCCTGGTCGATTGGGAGGTCCAAGATACAGAATTTTTGGCTAGATAACCAATTTCAGGGGCTCTCCGGGACTATTGATGTGATTTCCTCAATGACCCGGCTCTCCCAAGTATGGCTTCAAGCGAATGCCTTCACAGGTCCAATCCCTGACCTTTCCAAATGCGTAAATCTATTCGATTTGCAGCTCGGAGACAACCAACTTACCGGGGTTGTACCAGTTTCATTAACTGGTCTTCCAAATTTGGAGAACATTAGGCTTCAGAACAACAAATTGCTGGGTCCTATGCCTCTGTTTGGCAATAAGGTGAAGGTCATTCTTGGGGATACTAATAGTTTCTGTAAGGATACACCTGGGCCTTGTGATCCACAGGTCACTGCGCTTCTTGCCTTTGCTGGTGGTCTTGGATATCCAATCACGCTTGCCCAATCTTGGAAAGGGAATGATGCATGCCAGAACTGGGCATTTATCACTTGTGATCCGCAGGGGAAGAATGTGACTACTGTGAATCTTGGAAATCAGCGTTTCTCAGGTACTATTTCACCAGCTTTTTCTCAATTGACTTCATTGAGGAACCTGTATTTGAATGATAATAATCTTACCGGTCCAATTCCGGTGAGCTTGACTACTTTGCCTCATCTTCAAGTCCTTGACGTTTCTAATAACAATTTGTCTCCCCCTCTACCCTCCTTTCCACCTGCTGTAAACATTTCTTTTGGCGGTAATTTATTACTTGAAAAGACTGTGGCTACCGGTAGAGGATCACCAGGTTCAGGTCAGACTGAAAATGGGTCCTCCATGTCAGCCAGAATGTTTGTTGTTGTGGTTATAGTTGTTGTTATTGTTGTTCTAGTTGTGCTGTTTGTGTTTTACAAGTGTTACATGAAGCGGGAGCATAAGAGATTTGGAAGGGCTAAGAGTCCTGAGAAGATCAAGAGCACTCAGATGTTGAAGACTAATGAAATAATGGGCACTGCTATTAAAATCCAAGTTCTTGAAAAAGCCACAAACTTTTTCAGTGAAGAGAGCGTGTTGGGGAGTGGAGGATACGGAGTGGTTTACCTAGGTAAACTAGACAATGGAACAAAGGTTGCCGTGAAGAAGATGAAGGATGGGGCAACGCATACTAAAGGAATGAATGAGTTTCAAGCAGAAATTGCATTTCTAAGTAAAGTTCGGCATAAGAATTTGGTTGCACTGGTCGGTTATTGTATCAATGACCACAAGATGCTATTGGTGTACGAGTATATGTCACATGGTACATTGGGTCATCATTTATTTGAATGGAAGAAGCATGGCTTTGATCCTCTAACATGGAAGCAAAGGGTGACAATTGCGTGGGACGTGGCTAGAGGAATTGAGTATCTTCATAGCTTGACTCATCAAAGTTTCATTCATAGAGACATAAAGTCCTCAAATATTCTTCTTAATGATGACATAAGGGCTAAGGTTGCAGATTTTGGATTGGTCAAAAAAGCTCCGGATGATAAATCTTTCGTTGAGACACGAGTTGCTGGGACATTTGGTTATCTTGCACCAGAGTATGCTAGTAAGTATTAGTTCAGCTTATTATGTTACATTTATATTAAATTTTATATTTTGATCAAATGACAACAAGGTTTTCTTGTACAAAGTGAGATTGATCTCAGCTATCCATAGGTTCATCAATGGTTGAGGGTTTAGTAAAAAAATATTTGGTCAATTTTATAAGGGTCACACTTGTGTGAAACTGTCTCACGGAAGATTATTCCTGAGACAAGTCGGGTCGGATAAATATGGAAAGCCATCAATTAAGAAAGATCTAATAGATTTAAAGCAATTAGAGAAAAAAAAAAAATGTGGAGACATTTTTGTAATAAGTTAAACCTTTAATGCAACTAATAATAATATAGAGTGCTATTATAACACTGTAGAGTGCAACTAAGGAAAGCTACATAATACATTTGTTGAAAAATACCATGATATTTTTATAAATAACTCAAACTTTAAACTGAAACTAGTAATTAGCACTACAAAGTATAATGTTAACACTTTAGGGTGCATCTATCCAATGCACTTATACATATGTAGGGGATATTCTATACTGTTGTTAATTGAACTACAAAGATCGAGTTATTTACAAAAATGTTATTGCATTTTTTCTGTATCTTCTTGCTTTAAAGCCGTTAGAATAGTTTAGCTAGATCAACAGCTCTGAGTAGTAATATTTTTATTTGATCAAAATTCTATATATATAAGTTGTCATAGTCAATTAAAATACCCCAAAAAAAAAAAAAAAAAAAAGGAGTGCACATCCACTTTTAAACTATATAAAAAAGAATGCTTTTGGTATAATTAAAACCTATTACACTATAAGATTAAGCACATCTAACTAGTTTTATCCACACCTCCAAAAATAGAAACTTTGTTAAATCAAATAATTCATAATCTACTCATGTTACAAGCCTACAACTATAGCATATTTATTGATTTGTGATGTGTTTAAAATAAAATCATATTTGATTGTTATAAAACTAGATCGCTTATACATGTGGTCGGATGTGTTTCCAACAGCAACAGGGCGAGTAACAAAAAAAGTAGATGTTTATGCATTCGGAGTTGTTTTAATGGAGATAATCACCGGTAAAAAGGCAGTAGATGAGACTTTACCTGATGAGACGTGTCATTTAGTCACATGGTTTCACAAGATTATTAGAAAAAGTCACAACCTTCAGAAGGCTATTGACCCAACTCTTGATCCTGATGAACAAACATTTGAAAGCATTTCTAAGGTTGCAGAGTTGGCAGCTCACTGCACTACTAATAAATATTATCGTCGACCAAACATGGAACATGTTGTTAATGTTCTTGGTCCCTTTGCACATAATTGGAGGTCATTGAGACCGGAAGAAATAGTTGAAAAGTTTGGTGGTTTTGACCTCAACATGAGCCTTCCTCTTGTGTTTGATGATTCATCTATTGAAAGTTTGTCATTCACAAATGCTCAACACCGCCTCAATCAGAGTGCACAATTTTAATTTTTAAGATCATTATATTTTTATACATTAATATTTGTAGTATGTTATTCTCCGTAGTATTTTATGTACTATGACCTTGATTATGATATATAATAGATAATGTAGTGTTTGCCTATGTGTAGTTGGTTGAGTCTATTTCGTATTTGTTGTTGTGGTTATATATTAACTTATTACCTCAAGTTTAGTAGGTTGTTAGCTTCACCTTTGTAGTATAAATACTTTCATTGTGTAATGTAAATTCATCAATTCTTCACCTCTCTACATGGTATCAGAGCTATTCATTGCAAACTATAATTTTTTCCCCTTTCTCCATAAGTTTTCTATTTCCATGGCTGCTAATGCTACAACTCACATTATATTAATCCTCTCACTCGTGAGGGTGATGCTGCAAATAATGAATCTACTGGCCTCCCCAATCTGAGTAATCCGGTACCTAATGTTGAAGGTTCTCATACCATTCCTAATACCCTTGAACCTGGACAATCACTAATTGTGGTTACGTTTCCTTTGCGGCGACAACTACGCGAGAGAGAGATAAAAAACAGCTCCCTTTTAATCTTACATATTATCTCAAATGCTGAGAATGGCCCGTCTCTGTAGATCCCTTGGTTGTACGAACACCACAGCACCCATAGCGTAAGGGAGGGAATCAGCTTCGCACACCAGCCTGCTGTCGAGCCTGGGTGCGAAAAAAGCCACCATATGTGGCAAGCCGCTCTTATTGAGCTTGCAGCAGCTCGGGGTAGTCCAAATAAACCTGTGAAAAAATTCCAAACCTGACGAGCCATCACACACTGATAAAGGCAGTGTTCTAAATCAGCAGAATTGGCGCGGCAAAGAGGACAAATTGACGGCGAACACACTACCCCAATTTTCTGAATAATGTCTGGAAAGGGCAGGATCCGACGAAGCAAATTCCACATGAAAATGGAGATACGGGAAGGAATTCCATCGCCCCAAATAGAAGCGGAGGACAAGCTCCGACCTTTTTTCAGACGCAGGGCCTCATACGCTGATGAAAATGTGAAGTCACCAAAGGAAGAAGGTGACCAGTACAAATCCCCCTCGGTCTTAACCACTATGTTCTCATCCACTTTGAGCTGCTGCATCCTTCTCCACGTAATAGAGCATGCTGTGCGGGAGGAGTCTAAGTACCTGGACTGCATACTCCACAGCGAGTCACCTTGTCGCCAGTTAAAATAGAGTTTCGCAGAATAGGTTTGCTGAATACAATCAAGAGACCGAAGCCCGAGCCCCCCTTCTTCTACGGGAAAGCACAGATTTCTCCACGACACCCAGTGTCTTTTTGATTTTCCGTTCTCCAAACCCCATAAGAAATCAGCAAACCTTGATTCTAGAGCTTTTTCAATTTGCTTGGGCAGGAGGAGAGATGAGGCCGTGTAGAGGGTTACCATGGAGAGCACATGACGGACCAAAGTTAAACGGCCTCCCGGAGAAAGTAGTTTTCGCTGCCAGTTGTGTAAGTAACCATCAATCTTCTCTAGCAAATGATGATAATAAATAGGCCGGTTTCTCCCCTTAAAGAGGTTAACTCCCAAGTAACGAAAAGGCAGAGTTGACCTTTGCATACCCAGTATCCTTGACATGGTGTTTGCCCTACTGTGCATGCATTTACTGGAGGTGACAAAGAAACTCTTGTTGTAGTTAATTTTTTGTCCCGACCCATCTTGGTACTGATTTAAAACTTCGACAAGGGCTGTTAGAGAGGCCGAGGAGCCATTTACAAAAATCACGATATCATCCGCAAAGGCCAAATGGGTGACCAGGGGGCAGTTTGGTGCGGTAGACTACGGAGATAACAGACCCACCCCAACTTTCAAGATTAAGGAACGCGAGAGGGCTTCAGATGTCAAAATGAATAAGAGGGGCGAAAGCGGGTCCCCCCTGTTTGACTCCCCTAGTTGGCTGGAAAAATCCACAACTGATACCATTAACCAGAATTGAAAGCCGAGTTGCTTCCAAGTTGTTCATTATAATACTTATGAACGAAGCCGGGAAACCAAGCCGTTCCATCGCCGCCCTTAGGAAAGGCCATGATACTCTGTCAAAGGCCTTCATCATGCCTGGTTTGACTATCACATTGGCACCACGACATTTTTTGTCAAGGTATTGGAGGAGTTCAAAAGCAAGCAGGACGTTATCTTGAATGCCGCGACCTTTCACAAAACCCGCCTGTTCTCGGGAAATCAGATTCGGGAGGATCGGATTTAATCTAGAAGCAAGCACTCGAGTGAAAACCTTACTGATGAAGGTGTAGAGACTGATCGGCTTATAGTCAGCAAAAGAATCTGGGTGGGCTTTCTTTGGGATTAAAACTATCTGTGCATTTGCCATCGCCCGAGGGATCGGGACCCCTATCAAGAAGTCCTGCACTGCCCAGAAAACATCCTCCTTGACTAGGTCCCAGCAGTGCCTGAAGAAGCTACCCGAGTATCCGTCCGACCCCGCCGCGCTGTCCGGGTCTAGCTTCCATACCGCGGATTTAACTTCCTCGCGCGTCAGGGGGGCAGTGAGCGCGGGGGAGTGCTGCGCAATCAAATCTGCCGGGAGACATTGTAAAAGAGCATTCAAGCCCGGGCAATCTTCAGCCGAGAACAGACTAGAATAATAATTAACAGCCTCATTTTGTATATCTGCCTTATCGGTAAGCAAGAAACCCCTCGAGTTTTTAACATAAGATATTCGCTGCCTGCGGTGCCTGTCTTTAACAACTGAATGAAAGTAGCGAGTGTTTGCATCACCCTCCTTCAACCATTTTACACGGGTCTTCTGTTTCTAGAAACATTCCTCCTGTTTAAGGGCAAGTAAGAGATCAGCCTGCTTAGCCTGAAGCGTAGAACGGGTATCCCCGGAGGGATCTCCAGTATGCCTGCGCTCCACCTCAGTGACTTCCAACTCCAAGGCTTTAACCGGATCAAAGATGTTACCAAAAGTGTGCTTGTTCCACTCTTTCAGAACTCCCTTTAACCGTTTCAATTTGAAGGAAAGAGCTCTCATACCGCCACCATCTACCGGCAAATTCCAGTTGCAGCGTACGACGTCCATAAAACTTGGATGCATAAGCCACATACGCTGGAATCGAAACTGTTTTGGGGAGGTCAACAACTCATTAGCACCATGGAGGAGTAGGGGTGCATGATCCGAAGTGGTTTTGGCCAGAACGTTAATTCTAACATCTGAGAAGAAATCTCTCCAAGGCGGGTTCATCAGGAAACGGTCCAATCTCTTCCAAACTGGGCCCACAGTTCGAACTCTATGCCAAGTATAAAGGTTTCCCATTACATCCAAGTCTAAAAGATTATTTTCACAGATAAAAGCTGAAAAATCTGCAATGCTATTAGTATCTGGCCAAGCACTGCCTCTGTATTCAGTCACACTTGAGATGACATTAAAGTCTCCTCCGAGCAGAATAGGCGAGGAGGTATCTAAGAGACCTGCAAGCTGTGCCCAGAGCCTTGCCCTCTCCCCTCTTGTGTGCTTCGCATAAATTATAACAAATCGAAAAGCAAACTGCCATGGTGTGTAAACAACCTTACAGCAGACGAATTGGTCACTATCCACCTCGATCTCAACTTCAAATTTGTCCGACCAAAGCAACCAGATTTTGGACTCCGATGAGGCATAACCATCAATAAAACCAAACTCCTACGCCATCTGAATCAAGCGATCCTGAGCGAGCATAGGCTCAATTATTGAAGCAAAGTGAACGTGCTCACGTCTGATAAGTCTTTTGAGCCTATGCCGTGAGGAGAGTAGGCCCCTGACATTCCAGCTGAGAATTTTCATTTCAAACGGTGGGAAAATGAACTCTAGCAATTTTCCCTGCCGCAAGACGAGTTGTGACTGCCGGAACCTGGGAGGAGTAGTCTTTTCTTGGCCTGCTTTTTTTCTTGGTCACAGTTACAAAATTATCTTGTTTCGAACCCCCCAACTTTGAAGCAAAGACTTTACTTGCCTCCTTCCAGGAATCTAATAATGATTGAGTGAAGGTCTGCGCATTTTGTATCTCGTCTCCATCCGACAAATGGCCCAGTTGCGTTTCAGATGACTGTGAATGCCGAAGGCCATGATCATCGATAATATTCACCCCAGAGAGGTGTTGGCGTCTGGGATTGTCAGAGGTGTTGTTGAGCTTCCGACTTCTAGATCATTCAGGCATTCATTTAGGGCATTATCTTGGTGATCATCTGGGCTTGCTTCAGTTTGGTTGATCATTGGGCGCCACCTCTTTCGCGGCGGGACTAAGAGAGGTTGCCGAGTAGGGTGCGATTCTGTCACCACCACTGCATCCCGTCGAGGGTGCTAGTGATGTTTTTCATCTTGAGCACGGCACTCTGAAGCCAAATGTCCAAACTTTTGGCATCCCAGGCAATAGGGTGGAATGTACTCATAAATGACTTTTTGGGCAAATCTGCCAAAAGAGCCGTTGTTGATCCAAATCTGATCTGGCGGGGTGGTGCTGACATCGAGTTCCACACAGAGCCTAGCCATAGAAGGCCGGTTGTGTGACAGAGTTGAAGCGTCTACTTTCAGCAGAGAACCAATAAGATTTGCAATTGAATAAATTGCTCTCTTATCGTGCAAATGAGCCGGCAAGCCCTCTAGGGTGATCCAGACTAGCACAATTGGTGATTCCATCTCGGGGCGAAAATCAGGCGTCCATTTGAACACCTGCATGAGAGCTCCCTTGATCGACCAAGATTTCCTCAGCCAGCAACGTTGGAAATCAGCCTCGTGATCAAAGTTCATGAGGATGTGGCGCTGATCGAGCAACCCCAGGGTGAAGGCGCCTCCGAATCCGATAAGATCGAAAGCCTTTCTGAGGTCCGCCATAGGAGGCCGAAACTTTGCAAATTTACCAACAAGAGCGTATCTGAACTTGTGGGCAAAGGTACGGACGTCTTCATCGGAGAAAGACACTGCGGGCATCCCTTTGTATCTCTCCGGGGGACGGAGAGGTGGTGGCGTGGTGGTGTTCGAGAGGATGTCCGCGAAGGAGCGAGGAGGGGGCGCGGCGGCCCCCAACGGCGCCGCCATCTGAGGCCTATCGGCGAAGAGCACTGGAAGCGCAGCGTTCTGTTTTTCTCTCCGAAAAGCTCTCTAAATAATTTGCTTCTTCTTTTGACCAAGTGGTTCGTTTTTAAAAATTTATATTTCTCATAAAAAACTTTTATAGACTTTTACAAAGTTTATAAAAATCTGAAAAGATTTTATGAAAGTCATTTGAATTTTACAATT